CATGGTGCCCTTGAGAAGCCGGTGGTTCCCCTGCGAAGCCGATAGTGTCCCTGACAGGCCTCTGGTGCCCCTGGCAGGTCTGTGGTGCCCCTGGAAGACCTGTAGTGCTTTTGCTAGGCCGATGGTGCTCCTGACAGGCCTGTGGTGCCACTGACAGGCCCGTGGTGCCCCTGCTAGGCCTTTGGCACCCCTGGCGGGCCTGTGGTGCCCCTGTCGGCTGTCAGGCCTGTGGTGCTCCTGGCAGGCATGTGGTGACCCCAGGCCCTAAGTCATGACACATGTGACCTCCACCCTGGGATTCGCCACTGATTAGTACTGCGATGGCTTCTTGGGAATTATACATGTAGGATAAATGGAATTTATCAAACGACAATAAGGAAGAGACAAACACATAGGTACTTGAGGATCAGCTTAAAGTTAACCACACATACGGGCAGGGGTGTAATTTTCCTAAAATGATTGTGGGTGCCCAGCTGTAGGGGCGCCCGGCGCCAGGCCGTTTTGGGGCGCGATAGATATTCTTTATGTGGGAGCCTAAATTAACACCGAATTTGATAACATTGCTAGCCGAATGGCGCTTCAAGTGACGTGTCTGACTAAGCAAATACACGCTTAAAAGTGGAAACTGACCGGAAGGACGTAAAAAATATGTAGAGAGGCGCCATCCAGTAGGAGGGGCACCAAATGTGGAGGCGCCAGACGGTTACGACTTACGAGGGCGCCGTGAGACGATGAAAAGGGCGCCATTCTCTTAGGAGGGCGCCGAGTGATTGAAAACGCTATGTGGTCTAGGGGCGCTAAGAGGCCAGAAGGGCGCCGCACAGTCAGTAGTGCTACGTTGGTGGGGACGTGGGGGCGCCAGATGGTTACGAGGGCGCCTTGAGATCATGAAAAGGGCGCCATTCTCGTAAAAGGGTGCCGAGTGATTGAAAACGCTATATGTGGTTCAGGGGCGCTGAGAGGCCAGAAGGGCGCCGAATAGTCGAGGGATGCACGGTGAACAGAGACCTAAGGACGCGAGACGGTCAGGAGGGCGCCGTTAGACCATGAGAATGGCGCGGTGCTGTCAAAAGTGCGCCATTCTCCCAGAAGGGCGCCGAGTGATGATTAAAAACGCTATCCATGCTCGGGGTTACATGAGCAGAGTTAATACGCATTACAAACGGACTACAATGGTGAGCGAATAGGAAAATCCGTTCCTGATACGCATTTACTTGCTCATGTAACCCCGGTACATGAACGCGAGACGGTTAGGAGGACGCCGTTAGAGCATGCGAAGGGCACCGTGCTCTCGAAAGGACGCTTGCAGCCTTGTAAAAGACTTGTGGGTGCTTTTTCATCATTGTGGGGGCATAATTCAGGATTGTGGGTGCATATGCCCCCACAAAGAGATATAAAATTAGGTACACCCCTGCATACGGGGGTGAACTGCAATTTTCGTTTAGTAAAAAAAAAAAAAAATCATCGTGTCAGGGCTGTGACGAAAAATAAGTGGCCTAAATCCGATGAGAAAACAGGATTTGGGGGTACCCTAGGTTTGGCTCCTTGAGCCATGGTGCCCCCCCTTGTCTCAAATCGTTCCGCCGCCTATGCTCAAAACTAATGTTAAAGGGACCCTCCCACCTTCAAAAAAGTTAATGAATTGGCATGAAAGTGATGTCGCTCGGTTCAGAAAGAGCAAAAACGAATATCTACCAAATTTCATCGAAAAATATTCACCGGTTTTCAAGATATTAGACTTTTAGTTTTGTTTACTTTTTGGGATCTCCGCTGTTCCTAGCGACTTTATCTGAAAGTGCGGCATTTGTTGCGCGCAAAGCAGCATATACCACCGCGTGCTACAAAACGTTTTAGTCAAATATTTAACGGACGTTCGGAAGCCTGATGACGTCATCAGATTCCCGTAATGGTTAAGAGATAGGGACCACGCTGGTCCCACCCTGCAAGTAAAGGGAAGAAATTTCTTGAACACCATAAAGCTGCGGGGGTTGCGACCAGGATAAATGGTGGTTTCTGAGCCTGGCCGCAAACTTGGCTATCTCAGCTCAAAACTAATGTTAAGGTGGGAGGGTCCCTTTAAGGTGGGAGGGTCCCTTTAACGCTGAATGGCTCAACGTCGTGCACCGCACTTGGTTGATTGACGATACTGCCCTTGAATTTAGATTTTGTTGTAAAAAGGCCGTTTTGCTGTTCTGAACGAACGTTTTCAACGAAAGAAGCAGAAGACGGTGAATGTCCCAGAATCTGCTTGTTAATCCTGCATATTTTTTTTTTATGAATATTTGCAACACAATGATCAGACCTGCCTAGACAACGACCAACTTTCGTGGTGAATTTCTTACGCTCTTTCGAACGCCACCCTCTCAGCCTATCGCTCCGTGGCCCAGGTATGTAGTTAGCAAGGAAGCTTTTGAATAGCCGTTCTAACCAGCGTGATAGCCGCCTCTCGTGGAAATCCAGGAGCCCTAGAGCCGGTTATTGCTTAGGGAGACAGGATGTAGGCAAGCAACCTATTCTTCATCTCGTTATGTAGTGATATGAAGTCAGGTCCATTTCGCGACCTCGGATCTATCTAAGAACCATATTTATACCCCTGAGGTCATCATGACTGCATGTGCGAAGTCGTGAGAAGTCACCAGCATTTCTCGATAATAACGTTTGTTTGGTTGATATGTTATAGAGAGTAGAGAGACGAAAATAGCTTGCATGTGTTCAGCGGAACGATACGGACCGAATGTTATGCAACGTGATTTTTTTTCCCGGACAGGTCATGGCCTAGACCTTCAATCGAACCTTAACCCGCGCCGGGCCGGTGCTCCGAGATTCCGCGCCGGGCCGGGGGTGTCAGAACACCCCCCCTTCTAACTCGGCTCCTGGGTCACGTAGCGACACGCGGTAAGCGGCAACCGAAAGAACGTCCAAAATAAAGCCGAAAACATCTCGGTCATTTTTTTGGGTCAGGTCCAAGGTCAGGTCACCAGAGGTCACCAAAGGTAAAATATTGACTATTTCAACATTTTGGAAACTGCCGACGGCTATCTCGGGAGCCGATAGAGCTACAACGCCGCGGAAAAGCGCATTCGATAGCCCTTTTACAGAACTTTCTGAATATTGTTCTCAGATTTGACCTCAGGTCAACGATTTAGCCTCCAGAGGGCAAAAACTCCAAAATTAGCCGTTTTTACGAAAAACGTTTTTTTTTTCCGGCAATAACTTTTGACTCAGAAGAGCCATGACATTTCTTTTGCCAGCATCGTGTTCCTCTCGTCGAGACGCGTCGAATGAACTGTAATTTGATCTTGATAGGTCAACTTGAACATTTGACCCCAGGTCAAGGTCATGACCTGACCGGAAAAGGTCATGTTGCATGTCAGTCGATTAGCAACGTCGAGCCGAACACATGTAAGGCGTTTTCAGCGCTCTAGCACGCCTCTCTATCAGAAGTTTTTAGCGAAAAACTTTCTGTTCGTGACCCGAGATGACCTCTGGGACATAACGAGGGGTCACAGTTGCCACTTTCCGGTTCAGTGCGTCAATTTTACCTACATCTCGATGTTTGAGAGTGTCTAGAATAGCGTTCGTGCAAAACAGACGCTTTTCAATTTTCTCCCATTGACTTAGGAATGGAGAGGCCGCAAAATTGACCTGACCTTAGGTCACCGATATCAAAATTCCGAGATGCACATTTTATAGATAATGGTGCTCTTATCAATCGCTGAAAGTTTCAAGGCAATCGATCAGTCGGTTTAGCTATGATGAGCTCATTCTTATTTTTTTCTGAGGTGAGGTCACTTGGCGTGACCTGGTGACCTGACCTACGGCGACCTGGGTCTGAAATTTTCACATGTGCGGAAAAGATGCACGAACAGGTGTGCCAAAAACGGCGGCGCTCCGCGCCGCCGTTATTGAGATATCTCCGAAAAACCGCGGGGGGGGGGGGTGTGTGTTCAAAAACCCCCGGCCCGGCGCGGGTTAGTCGACCTTAAAAGTTCAAATTAGGGTTCAGTCGACATTTTGAAAGTAGAAAAACATAATACCGGTAACACCAATGCTGCACAATAAGACTTCATGACATTTGTAGGTATTTTATGATCTCGAGTCAGTAAATAATATATTGCAATATGTAAGTGTCTGTCGTGTCAATGTCGCGTAAATCTCGCGCCCATAGGCACTACATCCTCAGCGGCCAGTGTTCGCCTGTACAGGTCTCATTTCCGTCTCAGTGTCCCCTTCTTCGGCCTCTCAGAGCCGCGACGAGCAGTGCATAAGCACTACTAGAGCTAACTACATTTGATTAAATGATCAACTGTCAGCTTTATTGGCAGATCCTGTTGGGCAGGCATTTATTCCGCATTTCATACACGCCAACCAGCTGCCTGAACTTGCGCTTTAAGAGGAGAGCCGGATATTATCCCCCCATTCCGGCGGCTACCGTGCGGATGTCCTTGCTCTTCCCGGCTTCCACTGTTGCTTCCAGCCTTCTACGACTGACTGGTATTTGAGCTCAGAAGGCTGCCCTCAACGGTCATTTATATCTCGACAATGGCAACGTTTTGAATATTAGGGCGTATTGGTATCTGCGGATCAATCCATTTCTGTCTTCCAATATTCTTTGAATTTCAATTCAATGAAATCTTAGCGCTTCAAACCCTTCCGCTGGCTTCCTTGCTTTACCTACCGGCAAAGACTAAATGTTTGCTAAATGAGTGCTTCATATACCTAATGACTAAATCTGTCAAAGGGTTTATGGAGTTTGATGCAGGGAAATTAAAGACACAAACAAATTGCATTCAGTTACCCAGCGCTTGCGTACGTAGCATCATAATAAATGTAATATGGAGACCATTCAATATCTTCTCCTGTACAAGCTTTTGTGCGTAAATATCCGGAAACGCACCTAAATGATTTTCAACGCTAACACACGGACATAAACATAAGTATAACCTAGCAGTTGAAGCCCAGCACCTGCTAAGCACTTTCGAACGTTGTGTACGCGTGGAAATAGACATATTTTTATTATGTATTGCATGCTTCCCACGATCCATAACGATGCACATTTGAAAATATGAACATCGACAGACGACGGAAGATTATGTGCTTCTGATTTCTATCGGCTATAGCTTTATATATCGTGGGGTTCTTGACCTTAGTTCGCGAATTACACGGTACACATGATTATTGTTGACAGGTTCTCAATAGCTCAAATAACTGATAGATCCAAAAATAAATGCCACTGGGCGATGACAGCCCAGTCAATGAACTAACTGACGGGTGACGATGCACATTCACACAAAACGATGCACACCAGCACAACAACCAACTGACGCTAACACCACCACAATATGGCATGGCTAGTCATCTACATCTTGCCTTCCAATTATAGTTACTGACGCACAGGACCATTCGACCCCGGATCTATTGTTCCACAAGCACAGCTGTTCATTATAGATAAAACATAAACATATTCCTATTCGCGATGTCACAGTCGCTCCCACGCCAGCGTCAGATCAGTACGCCGGCGGCGGTCAGTCCGCTCGTCCAGTGCAGAAAAGTCGCTGTCCCGACCCTAATGCCGTCTCCAGTCCGCAAGTGTCATCCCCAGTGCCGCTACCCGCCCGGCTCGTCAGTCTCCTTTGACGTGCCCGGAGGCGGGACAGGCGGCCGGCGGCGGCGCTGCGGCGCTCTTCTCCCCGGCGCCGGCGGCCGCCGTGTCGGCGCCCGGCCCGCTGAACGGACACTTGAGCGGCTCTGCGGCCGGCTGGGACGTGCCGCTCGCCTCCACTGCGCCCCACGGGTTCCAGAATCGGAGTATCAGCGGCTGCAGGAACCGGTGCCAGATGTACAGCACCACCGGGACCACGACACACGAGATGCACACCATTATGCCGACCTGAAACACAGCCAGGTGTCATAAACCAATTCAGAAAATAGGGAGTAGGTACTCTCATGCGCTCAGGACGTCTAAGACTTAACTGTTCCAACAGTACTCTTTTAGTAAGGTGCTAGAAGCACTTAGATGCAGTAAGAATAAGATGTAACATCATATCTACATAATGAGACGTACTTAATTGGACATGGTCCATTATGATCACAACTTAACTCAGATTAGGTCTAAGTCTAAACTCTAAATCCAGCTTAACAACACTATATTTGAATTATCTCACAACAGTCACTACTTAGCAAGGCACCAAAGTCACCCACCCAAAGTTGAAGTCACACTCAAAGTCCCAGTCACCCACCCACTCATCCATTCAACCAAGTTTTATAATGAAGAGCTTGGAATAAAAAACAGCTAGACACTTGCTAGACACAGCTAGACACAGCTAGATATTGGATGATCTAAAAAGAATTTGGATGATATTGTAAATAAATTCAGAAAAAATATACTGTTTGTTGATGTCATAAAAAGGTAACTAAGACATGAAAATAAAAGGATGAGATCAACAATGAAGCATAGTTAGTTATTCTAAAAAACCAACTGAAGCAATTAAGCTTCAGAGGGGTGGATACATCATAAATAATTTAAGACAAATGACTGTGAATATATGAAAATTCAACGCAATATTTGTATTTATTGTATAAACCTTTATAAATAAAGCTATGCCAAAAATTAAATAAAAAACAACTCAACATATCAGTGAACAATTTTGAGGGCCACCTTTGCAACAATCAATTTATTTCTCAAGTAAGTAGCTAGGTACCTACATAAAAAAGTTGATTATCGTAAATGCAGCAGGCATAAGTTGCAACTCATGACAAAATTCATGCAAGGAAAAATCAATTTGTGACATGTATGATCATAAATACAAAATATTAAAAACAAATTATTGTATATTTTGAAGAAAAACTGACTAAAATACATTAATATTGCTAGGGAAACTCATGTGACGCTTTTGAGACAAAACCGACAAAACTTCAGTCAATATTTCACAACGAAAGGAATGACCAGGTTTAAAACAAACAAAATACAGCTTTTCAGACGTATGATGGAATTCAAGAAACAATTATGACAAGCCTTATTAGCGTGCAACTTACCACACTATTCGCGAGAAACGGATCTAACGAAAAAGGAACAAAACAATGCCACGAATGCTTTCCTTCAAGGTGACGTAAATATACGTATGAAAGTAGCAATCCACATTCCACACTGTTCCGCTCAGTGACGATGACGTCATAAAACCGATGGATTGTCCCCAACACAGAAATAAAGACTTCTCTAAGATTTATTTCTTTTAGTTTTAAATATATTTCATATGTTATGCCTTGATTATGCCATGTCAAGGAAAATATGCCCGCTCACTTTTTGAGCGGGGATTTTAATTATGAATGGAATGTCGGTCCACTCAGCACAACAATCTAACAGCATGCATACAAACAATAGGGTGCTAACTGCTAAAGTCGCGACTATCCGAAGAACCTTGGTCGCGACTGGCCACTTAAGCTGTAGGCCCGGTTGTAAATCGAATCGACTTCATTTCCATATTCATGCGTTGTTTCCTGAAGCATCTCGCAGTTGCAAGCACTTACCTACTGTATGACGAGCATGGTCGTTCCAAGATTCTTGGTCGTTGGAGAGCATGAAAGAGTCGTGTCAGTGTGGCACTATTTTACTATTTAGACATTCGTTGGCTTCGAACCGTCTACCCAGTAGCACTGCCTCCCGATTCCTCTCACAGAACGGCGTTCGTCGTTCAGGTCCTGCTGTCGAACTAAGATGGAGCCCTCAGCGGCTGGCATCGACTCCTCGAGACCTCACACGAGTTTAAGTCAATTTATCATCGTAAATACCAGGGAGAAATGGGCTCGGGCAAGCCCTCTTCTTGCCCTCTCTAACCAGTTAATGCTGGGCCATGACTCGATATCCGCAACATCCGACCCGTACGGTCAGCGATTTCATGAAATGGAAAATAGCAATGAAGGTCGCGATGATAGGCAGAGAGCTCAGCGAAACAGTTGCGCGAGTTGGGTGACACCGAATCATAATACTTGATGAAGATGAAATAAGCATTCGGTCTTTATATTTTGCACAACTGATTGATGTAACACGCTCGTCAATTAAAAGCCATGCATGTCGTAATCTATTAGATGATATATGGTTTTTCCTATCACATCGAAGCATGGAGAATGCGAGGCTGATGGGAATCTTTTAGTTAAAATACACAAATACTAAAACACACGTAAAACAAACATGGATAGAAGCTTAAAAATATAACTCCCTAAAACGTGATACATCCCCGGCATGCAAAGTTCGTTTACAACAGAAACAAGAATGTCCGACGAGTGAGAAACTTTAAATATCCATCGGAATGGAATAGTGTGAATTAGCAGAGCAAAACAAAGTGAGGACGTCAACGCAAAACCTAATTACATACACATTCTTCATCAGAATGCATCTGAATGCATTCATCAAATGCACTGAGATCTCAACTCGGATATGATAGGGGAACGGTGAAATACAAATGGAAGGCGCCCGAACTGACACAATAACATATGACGCAACATACGCTCAACGCCAGCAAGCTGATAACATAACGCTGAGTAGGTATATCGTCAGTTGCCATCAAATATGCAGTGCAGAACTGCAGAGGCGAGCAGGTCAGCTACAATAATACTGGAATATATAAATAATAGCATATGTTGATACATGCAAAGAGAATATGGCAGCAATATAACATAAATAATTAAATGAAGTTAGGCCACCCTAAATGTCTCCAGATAAACGACAAACTCATTTGGATTAAGTGATGAGTCAACCCAAACGGTAAAATGCAACCCTCAAGCATGAGCACAAGCGAGCTCGCGCACACCGGTACCTGACCGACGACCGTGTGTTTGTAGATAGGCAGTCCCAGGCGAGTATCACAGCAAACACACACAGCTAACATCCTACAACCCGAGCTTTGAATGCAAAGTAAAAAATCTCAATTTAGCGAAGGCCGCTTCAATCTAAAAACTTGCTATTGAGACATTGAACGATGATTAGGCACTGATAAAACAGCCTAAGTACAAGCGCACGGAAGGCAACAATCCTCAGCAATTCCTTCAAACCTAGCATCAGTTCCTCAACAATGTGGCCATGTCACAATAAAGTACACCTGAGCGTTAATGGTGACGGATCATTCTAGCCAGTAGCCGCACCATGCGCTTAATGTCGATCACCACCCGACGTTGCCAACACACGCCTCCTTCAGGCGTTGTCATCGATGTCTCTGGGACAGATCACTCCCTGTCTTCGTCGGTATGGGGCGGAGTGCGCACTTCCACCGTTCTGCCGGGACAGGGGAGGGGTGAGCTGTCAGTGGACAGTCTGACAGTCGTGACCCGTGTGATGCTTCAGAAGTACGGGACAACCAGTCTCACCCATAAGCAAACGACCAGCCCTTCCGACCGCCTTCAAATAGGTGTGGCGTTAGAAGGCATAACGATGTCGTCACGAAGTTCGAATGAACCACAGAGGATTTCCACTAAGTAAACCACAAATCTGGGCATCTGTCGGGAGTGGTATGCCGGATGAATGGATCATTAGTGGGAGCACACCATAAACGCGAAAATGGGATAACTAGCGGTGACCTCATCGCATAAATACCCTGGATGCTGTCGTGAGGAGTTGAGACAACATCATGGCGCTTTTTACGACCGGAAGTATTTTCTGATACAATCTGAGCTAATAACAAGCAAGATGGCCATCTCAGCTAGTAATTGAAGTAATACGCCTCAATATTAGCTCTGTGACGTTTGTTAACACTGCAGTCTGTATCATAACTGTGGGTTAAACACTTCAAAGTAGCACGCAGCGTATCTGCCATAACAGCTGCACATGACGTCTTGCAACTTAATGGTTAGTACCTGCCGTAGCGTCTCAACCGCATCTACCCGACTCGATGTATGTACCCTTCTCAGTCTCTCAGTCTCTCCTTTCTAACCCCACTAGTCGCTAGCCTCACCTGGCGGCCGAGACGGCGTCGTGCATGGTCTCCGGCAGCGGCAGGCCCAGCGTCTCGGGCAGCAGCAGAGTGAACAGGCCGGCCACCACTGACACCCCGCCAATCACCAGCAGAGGGATACTCTCGCCGTACACCGACTGAGGAACACGGTACGCGTGTGTCACGGCCGAGGAAACACGGTACGCTGGTGTCAAACTGGGGTACTACTGCTGAACGTAACCCGTATGCTCTAAATCGGCATATAACTTTGTTGGTTATTCGAACTTTGGTGGGAAGCAATTTGGCATGGTGTTCGGCAATATTCGACAATTCCATGTCCCAATATCATATCCTTGATTCCATTTTATTTTAAAGCGCTTTGGATCAAAAGCTTACTATTGACCGTCAATTGAACAAAAGGATAGTTATCCATGCACATGACAACGTCTGCTGATCAAAGGTCAAAGACAGATTCTAATTAAGAGATGCACCCTTCCTGATTTACGGCTGTATAGACATACCGATAGAGCTGTCACGGTCATGTCAGCCACCGACCACAAGAAAAGCAACTGAAGTGGAGATGCCAGTAAACAATATTAAGCTCTTTGTTTTCTACGAGCCTATGAAATCATCCATCTAGAGTTCAGTCACGAATTTCATGAGGGCTTTGAGGAGGTAGGGATGGGTCACTCGGGGTCAATAACGGCTAAAATTCGTTCTTGTATGACTAAACGCTGGATCACAGGCTTCAGCGTGCAAATCGCTTTACGCTCCTATTGGAATGCAGGTCATATTTCTCGCTCCCAAATCGCCGCTTGAAACGCTGCGAGTTGGGAGCGAAAACTACGCCACACATTCCAGTGGGAAGAACGGAGCTGCGACTTGCACACGTAAAACCACTGTCCCGCCTTATTTTTACCTAAACAATGCGGGGGCTCGCGCGAGGTATCCGTAAACCATCCCCAATAATATTAGTAAGGGGGCCATATTATGACTTTATTATCTTACCAGGACGGCGAGCTGGGGCGCCAGCATGGCCGAGATCCTGCCAGTCATCGAGCACACGCCGACGGCCGTGTTGCGCGCCGACGTGGGGAACAGCTCCGACGTGTAGATGTAGATGACGGCGAACGCGCCCGACGCGCCGCACTTGCCCAGCATCAGCAGCACCGCGCTGGGAATCGGCATCGCTGCGGGGCGGCGGAGGTCACGATCAGTGTAAGGTCGGGTTGGGGTACCTAGTGGTTGTATGTGTTACTGTATATACCCTGATACTGTCCCTTTCTGATACCCTTTCTCTATTGCAGAGGCCAGTATCATTCGTTGTGACTTGTGATTGCGATAAAGAAGTGAACACTCAAACGAAGGTCTTTGATCAGTGGTAGCAACTAACAGCAGACAGCAGCCTCACAAAGGTGCAGCTGAACCGTTCTGATAATATATTCAGTCTGACACTCTGAGATACCGAATATTTGCGGGGTATTTAACTACATGCAATGCTTATTGTGCAGCATTCTAATTCTAACGAATATCTGCTCCAAATCGCTTTAGCAATGAAGCCACTTATGACAGGAAGCACAACGTCACATTATAATTGACACAGCAGCCAAAAAGTCGTCGTCTGTCTCACACCATCAATATCTGTCATAAGCTATGATCCCGACGATCACTGACCGTTGGGTATGAGTCCCGACGCCATGATGCTCACTCCGCCGAGCACGGTGGCGAGCACGAACGTGATCCGCCGGCCCAGCCGGTCCATACCCACCCAGCTGAGAGTGTAACCTGTCAAAGGGAGGGACGGGGGTATTACAGAGGGGACGGGGGTATTATAGAGGGGACAGGGGTATTATAGAGGGGATAGACGGCCCAGTCGGTCCATACCCATTACCCACCCAGCTCAGAGTATAGCCTGTCCGGGGGATGGAGAGCGTGCCGCGTGATTAACGGGTCGTCGGGTACTTCAGAGTTCAGCTGGTACGCTGGAGCCATCGCAGCTCACACAAAAGATAATTATCGAAATGCGAGAAGCCGAAAGATGTGGTGTGATGAGCCTGATAAGACGTAAAAATGTCCGAAGCTATTTGAAAAAATGCCGAATGCAAATACATCACCATTACATGCGTCTCCTTCGAGTATCCCACTGACCGGGTCGTCTTGCCACTAACCGACCCTACTGAGTATCTCCCCAGTGACCACCATCCCACTGTTCAAGTATCTCCCAGATTACATCCCCGGACTATCCACTGACCCGGTATCTCTGCCACACCGGCCACGAAGTAGTTTGTGAAGAAGTCACCCGGCATGTTAGGCAGGTCCACCACCATGCCGTAAAACGCAAAGTTCACTGCAAACCTGAAAATCATGTCGGAAAGCGGTAAATACTAAAATTAATCACACTAATGAAGATATAAAAAAACAAGCATCGTAAAAGATAGACCTGAGACCTGATAACTAGCAATACTATTATCGAAACATTTTTTTTTTTCAAAGGCGGCCATGAACTGGTGAATTACGATGAAACTCTGGCTAGTTCATTGATCGGTTAAAGAGGTGTCACACCAACACACCAACAAGTGTCCCGGCCACAATGACCGCTTCCATCGGCAGCTGTTTCCAAATACGAAAGGATGAATCATCACACAGCTGCTGTTCCGCCGGTCCCATTTTTCTTTACTGACAGCGACGAGACTCGAATAGACGCGATGAATTCCTTTCAGTCTCAATCAAATAAGAGTCAATCACGGCTCGGTATTCAGTAGGGTTTGAGAAACTCGTGTGCAAACCCAGTACAAATTGAGAGGCTTCGGTAACGACGACAGTCAGGACCGAATGACTGTGCCTAAGAATCGGAACTCGAAATGTCAGGTGAATAAATATAGGAGTGCATGCTACAGTTATATGGCCGACGGACACCTACCAGCCGAGTAGCGCCAGCAGCAGGCGGAGTCGCAGCACTCGGCTGCGCATACAGTCCAGGAACGTCTCACTGGGAGCGGCCGGCACGATCAGCGTCTCCTCTGAGCTGCTCGTCTCCTGGCGGCCAAAGGCACGTGACAGTGGAAGAGATAGATGACAGTGGCAGACACATTTGTCTGAATTCAAGACAGACAAGACAGTGACAGATATAAACAACGAGACAGCGAGATACGACAGTGACCGTGACTATTGCTGCAAATTTGAGCCACTGACGAGGAGCAGGCACTATCAGTGTGTTAGTGCTACGTTATCAATGTGTGTTGATCGTATTGATGCTGCGAGTTATTTCGCAAATCACAGGCTTTGGTGCCGAGAAAACAATAAAATCAAACGATATTTACGACATTTAGCCGATAATCTCCTTCTTATACATAAAACAAACACAAATTAACGACAACTGACCGTTCTCCCCTCTCCCCGTCATGGCGTCTGCCTCCCTCCACTGCCCAAAACCGCCGCCCTCACCTCTGCATCCCTGACGGGATCCCGCAGCTCCCGCTGTGACGGTGCACCGTCCCCTTCCTCCTCCTCGCCTCCCGCGTCATAGTCGGCCAGCAGGTGCGGCGAGACGGTGGTGCCGTTCGTCTCGGCTATCTTACGGATCAGCCGCTCGGCGTCACGGGTCCGGCCCTGGGTCAGCAGCCAGCGTACTGACTCCGGACACAGCCTGGGGCACGGGGAGAGGGCATAGTGGTCAGTCAGCACACTGACACCGGATACAGCCTGGGCCACGGGGAGAGGGCAAAGTGGTCAGTCAGCGAACAGACTCCGGACATAGCCTAGGGCACGGTGGGGGACCGGGGAATTCAGCCGTCAGCCAGCGAACCGACTCCGGACACAGCCTGAGGCACGGGGAGGGGGCACGTGGTCACTAATAGACTGGTATGTGTAGACGGTGGTGTCCACGGGATTACTTGTATCGTATCGAGTTGAGATCGCGTATTTTTTAAATTTATTATCTGGAACACCAGAGAGTTCAGATGTCGAAATTAAGAATTCATGGGACAGAGAGCCGATAATCGTTTCCCGCACACCGTAATTGAGACTGAACGACCAAAGGTCATTATTATTTGCGTTACAGGGTTGTGCAGGTTAGCAATCATCACTGTCATCACTATTTGCGGGCTTTTAAATTGCTCTTCTTCCACCATTATCGCCATCCCAGCCTCTTCCCTCGTTCATCCCACACCCTCGGTAATTCGCTCGCACTGACCAGAATCCGGCGAAGAGCAGGAGCAGCGGCGCCGTGACCACCAGCTGCAGCTGCACCCAGTCACGGATGGCGTACCCCAGGCCGCCGGCCACCAGAGCGCCCAGAGTGGTGAAGTAGTTGAGAGCCGTACCGCACGGCACACGCCATCGCTTACCGACCAGCTCCACCGCTGCAGGGGAAGATAGGGTGAGCCAGATTGGTGAGATAAAAATACAACACAGTGGATGGTAATTGGTATGCTTTCATCGCATGACTTGCACACCACATTCATCCAAACACCCCCCAATTCTGTGGCAACACTTACAGGAATATCCTACTTCCTAGCCTGCTCCACAAAACCCATTCCTCTTTACAAAGCACTCGCCACTCACCCATGACAAACGGTGTCTGGAACATGCCGCAGCTGGCTAGGCCGAGCAGCACGCGCAGCACACAGACGGCCACGAAGCTGGAGCGCAGTAGTACCACCAGGTAGCCCACCAGGTTTATAATGAGCACAGCCAACATCAGTGCCGCCTTGCGGCCGAACCTGGCGGCCAGAGAGGACAGCGATTAGGACGTGTGGAGGAGGACAGACTGGCGGCCGTCGGGGGCTGTGGGTAGGATATACTGTTAGGATATGCTGACGACTGCGGATATCAAGAAGATATGACCTGGGAGAGTGGATAGCCAAAGGCAAATGGGAGCGAGACTCACACATTGCACAATGAACATTACACCATGCAGAATGCCTACCATGCCACTCCTTAGAACTCCATTCATCATTTTCTAAAAGAAAACCCATCCAAAGCTGGTAAAAGCATATGGCCCGACGAGCAGCAAGCTTCTCTGCATTCGTACCACCTGGACGTTTTACGGCAATCTGGCGACAGTTACGCCGATCGATCCCATTGATGCTGAGTTTACTGACCTGTCACTGATGACACCGAACACCACCGAGCCGAGCAGCACTCCGGAAAAGTAGAGCGTGTTGGGCAGCTCCACCAGCGGCTGGTAGTGGCACGTCAGGTTCCACTGGCAGAGTGAAGGGACAGGATAGTCGTCTTAAAACCCAGCGTCATTGATCAATGTCGGTAACAGTTCGCAAGTTATCGAGACGGCGTTAAAACACTAAATAATTCAATCATAATGCCATCTTCACTAGCAGAAGGTTCTCCCTGTCCCACTGGCACTCACCCAGCCCTCCGGAGACCGACCTGAGTGGCAAAGGACGTCTTGAACATGGAGTCGTCGAACACGAACTCGGTGCAGCTAACGGTGATGTTATCGTCAAAGTCGGCGTCGGCGCAGGTGTCCGCCGTGAGATTGTAGCGCCAGAAGCGGCGGCACTCGTCGCCGGTAGGGATCGTGAAGTTGGTGAAGGGCTCGACGTACTGCGGTGATGTGACATTGTCACATCCCGGTACCATACATCTGTGGCAGAAGGGATGAGTGTTCTAGGATGATTTTGGCGCAGCTGCAGCAAATGAGACGGGAGTTGACTGATGGTAGTACAGAAGCGCAAACATAATAATTGCCATTCACTTGGGATGTCAATTACCACTTTCATATAAAGCTCATCCTATTCCAGAAACCTTATCTGATTGCAGTAAGCTTATTCTATTCCAGTAACCTGTCAATTCCAAGGAACAATTAAATGCAAAAATATGCCAGCATGAAGAAAACTTAACCAATGAGTGACAGGCACCCACAAAATTGATGCAAGTCAGAACCTGAACAGATTGCAGTCAGTGTTAGGCTTACCTCATGGACTTAAGTAAAAAGTGCCTCTGGGTCTGGGCTGAGGGCCCTGGGTATTGTATGGGCCAAGGAGCTCCTGACTGCCCCAAGCCAAGCCTTTGACTTTTTAAGACTGCAGAGTGCAGGGGAACTTCCATATTTATAACTACTCTTACCTGTAGTGTGGTACATATGTCTGAAACACCAGAGCCACTACCCCTGGTAAAACAGCAATAGCAGTTGCAGCACAGAGGAAGCAGTAAAATACCACCTGGTAGCGGCCAAAGTCACCAATCTCAGAGAGTATCTTGTCAAAATCAATTTCGTGTCGAGGCATGACTAAAATGACTCTTACCTGAAAAGACACTGAATGTCATCACAATTGGGAGGGTGTGTCAATCATATCAAACCAAGGCTGAAACTTAACCCCTGGTAGCACTGGTGTGCACCAGGCACCCTGATGCTATCCCAATTGCTCGGGTTGGCATGTCAGCAGGCCAATCTGGGACATGACATGAGGCAAGGCCATACCGGGCGGGCGGGTGCTCTCAGGAGGTGTCCCTGGTCTGGACCAAAGGATCTGTTTAAAGGTGGAACAGGCCTGTTACTGTATGCCATACAGCCGGGGCACTGGCTGACAAGCATTAATCCCAGCAACCAAACACACTCCCCAGTTCAGGTTGCTCATTGCTGTCATCCCTGTCCCAACAAGCACTCTCAAGTTACTGGCTACTGCTAGCTCTGGTAGACTACTACTACACCAGTGGTAGTAGTAGAGCAGGCGTCACACTTGTTTTGTGCAGCCAAGGAGAAGTGCTATAGGTAAAGTCGTAGGTTGTGGGTTGTAACTAGGTGATAGGTTAGGTTGTATGTTGTAGGTGTTAGGTTGTAGGTTTTAGATTGTAGGTTGTAGGTAAGGTAAGGCCAGGTTTGGTTAGGTTTGGTTTGGCTTGGCTTGATTAGAAAGCATCTCTGGCCTCTGGGCATAGCACATCTCCTTGTTTGCAAAAAACAACTGTGACGCCTGCTTTACAACTACCCCATCTCCCGGATAGCAGCTGGACGGGAAAAAGGCTACCAGGGCGCTGTTCGGTCACAGCTTTTTTATCAGCAGGCTGCAAGCATGCTCGTCATTAGTCAAATTCAAGTGGTCTATTCGTTAGACCAATTATGATGAGAGGCCAAAAACAATAAGCAATAACTTCGGTATCGGTAACCCTGGCGTCACCGGTAGCGTTTTCGTTCAAGGTTAAGGTTTCCTGTATTAGGCAGTATTAGGCCACCGTGCCAAGCCGAAGCATGCTGTGACGTCACTGGGTAAGAGAACGTACCACGCTATCAATATCGACTGAGACTCAGATAGACTCAGAACGACTCAGGCAGACTCAAACTAACTCAGACCGACTCAACCGACATAGATTCCGATCGACTCAGACCGACTCAGAACGACTCAAACTGACTCAGACCGACTCAACCGACTCAAATCGATTCAGGTCGACTCAGACCGACTCGGAACGACTCAACCGGCTCAAATCGATTCCGATCGACTCAGACAGACTTAGAACGACTCAGGCAGACTCAAACCGACTCAGGCAGACTCAAACTGACTCGACCGACTCAGAACGACTCAAACTGACTCAGACCGACTCAACCGACTCAAATCGATTCCGATCGACTCAGACCGGCTCAGAACGACTCAAACTGACTCAGACCGACTCAACCGACTCAAATCGATTCCGATCGACTCACACCGACTCAGAACGACTCAAACTGACTCAGACCGACTCAACCGTCTCAAATCGATTCCGATCGACGCAGACAGACTCAGAACGACTCAGACAAACTCAAACCGACTCAAGCAGACTCAAACTGACTCTATTTGAGTCGGTTGAGTCGGTTTGAATCCGCCTGAGTCTGTTTGAGTCGTTCTGAGTCTTTCTGAGTCGCTCGGAATCGAGCTGAATCAGTCTGAGTCTGCCTGAGTCAGTTTGAGTCTGCCTGAGTCTATCTGTATCGGTCCGAGTCTGCCTGAGTCTATCTGTATCGGCCCGAGTCTGCCTGAGTCGGTTTGAGTCTGCCTGAGTCGTTCTGAGTCTGCCTGAGTCGCTCGGAATCGATTTGAGTCGGTTTGAGTCCGCCTGAGTCGTTCTGAGTCGGTCTGAGTCGATCGGAATCGATTTGAGTCGGTTGAGTCGGTCTGAGTCAGTTTGGGTCGTTCTGAGTCGATCTGAGTCGATCGGAATCGATTTGAGTCGGTCTGAGTCAGTTTGAGTCTGCCTGAGTCAGTTTGAGTCTGCCTGAGTCGTTCTGAGTCTATGTGAGTCTCAGTCGATACTGATAGCGTGGTACGTTCTCTCACCCAGTGACGTCACAGCATGCTACGGCTTGGCACGGTGGCCTAATACTGCCTAATGCAGGAAACCTTAACCTTGAACGAAAACGCTACCGGTGACGCCAGGGTTACCGATACCATAACTTCCCTATATCAATATGGCAAAACTGGCAGCACGCTGATATAAACACAGTGACCGAACAGAACTCAGAGGTCAGCTTTTGGTCATTTCCACCTCTGGATTTCACCCAGCTTTTGATCCAAAGACCTCCCACACTAAATTGAAATGCAAACGCACTTGCCAACTGTGCCACAAGGGCAAGTGCTTACACTAAAATGCTTTAAACTTTAGGAAGTTGTTTTATCTGAATTTGTATCACCAAAAACAGAGGAGGAAAATGAATTCCAAATTCAATAGAATTCCACTAGTCCTGACTTGGACTAGTCCTAGAATTCAATTGAATGAATTGAGAATTGAGATAATCGTCAAAAGAACCTGTCCACACTGCATTCAAACTGCATTAGCAATTTATAATTGCTTCCATATTTTGAAGGAGACTGCTACCAACTTTTTCTGATCTGAGTTACATTAGGCATTTCTGGTAGGTCAGTTCCATTGATTTGCTGCTATGCTTACCTAAGAGCAATCTTTGGAAAAACGCTTAGATGTTGGGAAAAACTCTGTTCATCTTCATTCAAATATTCAAAATTGAACCTTGAAGAATAGAAAAAAAATGGTTGCGAAATTTTATACTTTCATCACATGAAGTTTTCTTTGCACATTATTTCTGTGGTGTGAACCGTGCCTAATATTTGTTGATATTCGAAAATTCAGACTGGAGGAGAAAACGATCTAATGACGTACACAAACAGCTCCAGAACCATTTGCTGATTTCTAGCAAGAAGATTGAAATGAGCCTAATCGCATCTCGAATTTCAATCTTTGCCGGTGATTCTTTTTCATCCAGACTGGAACATACTAAAGTCTTGCTGGATTCTTGTAAAATGTAAGTAGAAATACCAGAAATGCAAACATTTTCATCAAAATGAGCTGCTCAAAAGTAAATGACGTCACGGAACAAAACTATTGGATGGAATAGAAATCAATCGACAATGATTCAAAGAGAGCCTTGAGAGGTCCTCAAAATTCTTGATAGCGAGACTTGTGTCTGCTGTGTGTGTGTATGTTTGCAGGGAAGCTCAAGCTTGCCTCGGGGCGGCAGGTGTCATTTGTTTTTGCCTGCATAGCTGAAGGTGGGTGTTATTTTTTTCACAGAAAGTAAGAGCTACGTTACATTTTCTTTTCACATTGCAATCATCTATTCAGTGTTTTCCTTTTCATATTCCAAGCCCCCGCAAATTGGGATGTTGATGCCCACTGCCCAGGGTCAGGGTGCTGGTGTGCTGTGTTGGGTGAGGAAACTGAAACACCCCAGCAGTTTTGGGTGAAAGGTGAAAACAGGGCGCCATGGGCGATTTGATCAAGGCTCTCGAAATGAGCATGTGAAAGTCGTTTTGTGGGTGGCATAAGATGGGAAGAAGTTTGTAATAGTCACATGACTAAAATGCCCTGTTTTCACCATCCACCCAATTTTGCGGTTGAAGGCAGTAGTCAGCACATTCAAATAATCATCTGCCTTTGCCTTTCTCAGGACAAACCCATCTTGATTTGCATCCTGATCCCCTCATGCCTCTCTTTCCAGGCTAGCAGTCACCAGTCACCACTACCAAGTACCAGACAACCAGTGTTGTGGGAAGTCCTATCTCTGGGGTGACCATTTCAATTTGAGAGACTGGGCTGGTTTTCTTATCAGGACATTCTTGTCCCACTAGGATAGTCTGCTGTTGCAGCTCATGGTTGTCTGCAGTCACTGGCCAATGTGACTACAGTCTATAATCTACCTACATCATATCCAATCATTCCATAGCTAGCATTGTAATGACATTTTTCAGTCCAAAAGAGCTTGACCTAAAATAGTTACATTAAAATAACATCAGGATTTAGGTATCCATTTTTATCTTCAGCACAGATGATAGAGCACTGACTCCTGGTGGCAACTGGCAAGAGCCTGGGTTCAAGTCTGAGTTGCTCTGGTGCTTGATGCATAGGCTGAGACTCAGGTAATCTTCTAGTCTTAGCCACAGGCCATCTTCATCAGGAGCCTTGTGCAGGAGCAGCTGCACCTACTTTTGTCCACTAGCAGAAAGGACCATTTCCATTGTCCAGCTTCAACAAGCAGCTTTTCAGCTTTGATTAGCATAAGTTTTGTCCCTGTAGTCTCAACAGCCCAGCATTGTCTGATGATCAGAGTCAGACTGTAAGGTTTGGGGCCTGGCCTGCACAGTGCACAGCTAGCGCTGCTTTGTGTGGACTCCAGCTCTGCCAATCCATTCATACAAACATTTGAGCTAGCTTTGCTGAAAGTGTTCAAACCACAAATGACTTGCATCTGACTCAGCTTCAGTGTAAGTTTGGGGGATGATGGCATATCCACTAGGCCATACAAATGATAAATGTTCTGTGGTCTGCTGGATAAAGTCCATAAACAACATCAATTCAAATAGTTTCTGCTGGGTGCACTAGCACATTGCTGAACTATGGCACCTGCTGGCAGCTGGCTTGTGGAGCTCCGACCATACTGCCGTCCTTCTGCCTACAGTGCGGCACTATGGTGCACCTGCTGCGGCTGGTGGGGGCGCGGGCGCTCTGCGCGCGGCGAGTGGGCTCGCCGCTACTGCCGCCGCCGACACGCGCCATCAGCCAGCAGGCTCAGCGGCAGATGGACACGCTGCGGCCCAAGGTGCGTGAGTTCGTCGAGCGGACGGTGCGTATGTGCCAGCCGGCTGAGGTACACGTATGTGACGGGTCGGAAGCCGAGAACGCCAACCTGCTGAACCAGATGGCCGAGAGCGGCGTGCTTGAGCCGCTGACTAAGTACGACAACTGCTGGCTGGCCCGCACTGACCCGGCCGACGTGGCGCGCGTCGAATCCAAGACATTCATCGTCACAGAGGAGAAACGCGAGACCGTGCCGATTCCGCGCAAGGGCCGCAAGGGCATGCTCGGTAACTGGATGTCGCCCAAGGCGCTGGAACATGCAGTTGCCGAGCGTTTCCCCGGCTGCATGCGCGGCCGCACGCTTTACGTTGTGCCGTTCTCAATGGGACCGGTTGGTTCCCCGCTCAGCAAGATCGGCATCGAGCTCACCGACTCTCCGTATGTGGCCGCCTCGATGCGCATCATGACCCGGATGGGCAGTAAGGTCCTCGAGACGCTTGGTGACGACGACTTCGTCAAGTGCTTGCACTCGGTTGGCCGGCCGGTGCCCGTCAGTAAGAAGCCCATCAATAACTGGCCCTGCAACCCGGAGAACACAATCATCGCGCACGTGCCATCAAAAAACGAGATCATCTCCTTCGGCAGCGGCTATGGCGGTAACTCACTGCTCGGCAAGAAGTGCTTCGCGCTGCGCATCGGCTCGACGATCGCACGTCGCGAAGGCTGGCTGGCCGAGCACATGCTGATCCTGGGCATCACCAACCCGGCCGGCCACAAACGTTACATTGCCGCCGCATTCCCGTCCGCTTGCGGCAAGACCAACCTGGCCATGCTTCAGCCGTCACTTCCTGGCTACAAGGTGGAGTGCGTCGGCGACGACATCGCCTGGATGAAGTTCGACGACAAGGGCGTGCTCCGCGCCATCAACCCCGAGAACGGCTTCTTCGGCGTGGCTCCGGGCACTTCGTCGGCCACCAACCCGATCGCGATGAAGACCATCTTTTCCAACACGCTCTTCACGAACGTCGCCAAGACGAGTGACGGCGGCGTCTACTGGGAAGGCCTGGAGAAGGAGGTGGACACTTCCGTGGGCATCGTCGACTGGCACGGCGATCCGTGGACGACCGGCAGCGGAGCGCCGTCCGCGCACCCCAACAGTCGATTCTGCGCGCCGGCCGCTCAGTGCCCCATCATCGACCCGCAGTGGGAGTCGCCCGAGGGTGTGCCCATCTCGGCCATCCTGTTCGGCGGCCGCCGACCTCTGGGAGTGCCCCTGGTCTACGAGGCCTTCAACTGGCAGCACGGCGTGTTCCTTGGCGCCGCGATGCGGTCCGAGTCGACAGCCGCCGCCGAGCACAAGGGCAAGGTGATCATGCACGATCCGTTCGCGATGCGGCCATTCTTCGGCTACAACTTCGGTCACTACCTGGCCCACTGGCTGTCGATGGAGCAGCGTGGCACGCCGGCCACCATGCCCAAGATCTTCCACGTCAACTGGTTCCGCAAGGCGGCTACGGGCGGATTCCTTTGGCCCGGCTTCGGTGAGAACACGCGCGTGCTCGACTGGGTGCTGCGCCGTGTCGACGGAGAGGACTGCGCCCAGGAGTCGGCCATCGGCCTGGTGCCCAAGCCCGGCTCGCTCAACCTGGAGGGTCTGAAGGAGGCTGTGGACATGCAGGAGCTGTTCAGCATCCCCAAGGAGTTCTGGCAGCAGGAGGTATCGGCTGTGGCGCAGTACCTGGATGAACAGGTCGGCGAGGACCTGCCATACCCGATCGTCGAGGAGCTGGAGCACCTTCGCCAGCGGGTGGAGAAGCTCTAGAGGCGCCTTCCGGACGCGAAGGTGGCTCCTGTCCCCTACTGCCGCCAGTGCAACTCGCCAGCTGTCGCGCCGTCCGTTATATGGACCTGTTGTAGACGCCAGTAGCGACTCAGCGGGTGGTGGCCCTGTGTGCTCGACGTGAAGTCCTCTGGCTGTATTGGTATTCAAGATTGGTGCATTCGGCTTAGAGCGGGTTAGAGACGGAATACTTGGTTAAGGGCTTTACTGGAGTGCATCTTTGATATTGCACATTCCATTCACATTCCCCTCTGCGCTTGGTTTGCTGGTTGTGTTTTGTATCGATTTTATGTGTGGCAAAAGTATATTTTAACATTATTTACATACTCGTGGCGCATTTCATGAGACTGTGATCAATGATTCCAAATGTGTTTTTTTCCACCACTCCCTCTAAGGGCAGTTCCTAGTTTGATTACGCATGTCTCAACTGAGGGTCCCACCTCCCAGATGTCACTTTTCTTCCTTTTTATAGTTTTTCTTCGACCATTCAATGGTTTCACCATGGATTACCTACTACCTGGATCGGCAACTCCGCGGAATTCCCATTGTATTGCGCGACCGCCCGAAAGTGCTGCCACCTATCGAGCAGACTGATCCCTGCTAAGGACAGCCCGCCGCCGCCGCCCAGTCAGACAGCGGCCGATACCAGCAAAGTCCGAAAATGACCGGCAAGTTACATGGCCTGAACCAGCCGCGGCTAAGTTTGACATAGGCCAACAGTGTCGGGTTCCGGAAGAGCGGTCCAGGGCGGTTCCATAGACTATGTATCGTTTTGGAAAGAATGGTGTGGTGGGTCGTTTACCGAGCGCGACTGGCCGATTTTACCTCAGCACGTCGTATTGTTAGCTCTCATGGCCAGGCCAGGCGCCTTCTGCCAGCTGCCTGAAAATACCTTCGATCAAACGACTTTGTCTATCACTCGGGTTGCCCCTGATCAGCTTGAGCATTCCAACTCAGTCGTCGGTAGACCGCAGAGGAAATGTGCCGTCCGCCGTGAAACATCCGAATCATTGCTACAGCCATTTTGACTGACTTATAAAGATCAAGACAAATGCTGTCATATCGATTAACGAATATCTGCACCACTGACAATTTCTATCAAGAAGCATTCCAGGATTATAAGCTTACCATACACCGTTTCGTTAAAAAACTGTTTCCATATTGAACTTATATTTGCCGTCGCATGAGCGAATTGCCTACTGAGTACAGGCTGAAACCGATTCTTTCCGCAGTCAGAAATCATGTGCGAGACCGAGAGCCTATTCAAATAAACCCCGGTCGCACTCGCATCCATAACACGCACCTCCTTGCGTGCGATTGATGCTATTGCAACTTAATGGATTTGAATAGGTTCTCGTATGCGATTTCCTGACTGTGGAAATAGTCTGTCTCGGCCTGAAGTTCAGAATTTAACACAGGTTCAATGACAACTAAGGTGAACGATGACACACAATGTATACAATGCATATTATTGCATAGACTGATAGGTAGGTTTCGAGAAACGACGTGCCACATGCCTACTAAACGGTGTCGTAGCACCAAGCTGGTTTCCATTCACACCTACCACCAGAGTATATCGGGAATAAATGCAAACACGATGCACACGAACGCATTATCCGCTCAATGGGTATGCCCGTAGTGGGTATGTTAGTCAGTTACAAACGCTGTGATACCTTAAACATTTTCGGCCGAGCCAGTTCACAGTTCACACCCCGGCTGCCTGCTGCCGTCACGTCACACGTGTCCGCAGTGGGCGTGCACCTGCGAGTGCGTGCATCATAATTCACATCACAAATCACAGGATGCCAATTCAAGTCAGCACACCGTGGAAACTGAACCCATCTCTTTGATCTGAAACGAAGAGTGAGAGAGGGAAATTAGATACCTGAGCATACCGTAATGAAATGGAGAGTGAGGGCATTCCAAGGCAAACTGTTTCCCCACAACATCACAAAAAGTATTTTACATTGCGATGATGTTAGCAAAAAATAAAATAAATAATACCTTGACAAGATACTCCCAAACAAAAGTACCCAAAAGCTTAACACCTTATCTGCTAGGCTTACATAGTTTAAAATGGCTTTATCTTACTTAAATCTATCTGCTATCTACACACAGTTTGGCTAGCACTCGTTCTAAAAAGGTGATTGTTATATATCATTCAATAGAGGGAAACTCACAAACTTCTTCGTACTACTCTGGACCTTTTGGCTTTGAGAAAAGAAGGAAGCTGATGTCAGGGAGCAGGGTCGGCACTCTTTTGTCATTTGTGGTTGACAATGGCACTGGCTGCCATTAGGCTTTCTTTTTACTGTCAAATGGTTCAGTTTTTCAGGCTGAGAACATGATTTATTTAAATGTGTTTTTTTATTCAATATCATTCAACTATTTATGAAATCAGGGCATTGGCAAGCAGGTTATAAAAATTAGCTGAAATGACATGATGCCAGTCAACTGCTCCTGAAGTGTGTTGCACTCTAGTCAGCCGTTCAGAGAAATACGTAGGAAACTGATATGGGTGAGCAGTGAGTCTGAACAGTGAGCAGTTGACCAATTTATAGGTAGGTATTGGCACTACACAATATAAAACAGAAACCATTTTCAATAGTTGAACAAATATTGACTTAAAAAATAATGGCACACTAACTGATTTTGCTAAACTAAAAACTTCACAAAAACTTAAGCAATTCACAACTAACAATGCATCATCCACCACCTATCATGCGCTGCCAAGACCGAAATTGTATCACAAGCAAAACCATGGCTATATCAGCGGCATGTATAAGCTTGAGATATGATGTGTCAAACATATAACAAACATATAAAAACATAAAATTAAACATATAAATAAGTGATTAACCATTCAATTACGGAAATTATACGATTTTTAACGACATATGGCGAGAAGCAATGTGCGCCAGTATCGTCAACAGCCGCTCTTTACAGTCATATTTTAGGCCACTCAGACCCTCCAACCACAAAAAAACCTTACCAATCTTACCTTGCCATCTTCCTCCATCTTCTGAAACCTTCCAATCTGCTCCAAAGGGGCTTAACTTTTCAAAAAACAAGGCAAACGATCCTACGACGCGACGCCGACCATTGTTTTGAATAGCACCCGCTCCCCCGCGCAAGGCTATATAAACCAGGTAGAACGCTCCGGGAAAAAAGTTGGAAACAATAAATTAGTTGCGGCATTCCCTGATGACGCGAATGTGGGCCAGCGGCCGGCGGCCGGCCTCCGCTAACACTGTATGAGGAGGGATGCGCGGAACTTTTGCTTGTTGGTGATTGCGCTAGGCAGTTAAATGGTAATGTTAGGATATGTTTCGAAAGTAAATTGAACGACGCTTCGAACGCCGTCAATGAATTTGCGATACGACGAATATTTGTTTAGTTAGAGCCGGCGAACTTTTACCTTCCGACCGCGCGCGGAGGCGATATGGTGCCACACTGGCGGTTTTTTACGATAGCTCAAAATTCTTTTGAGATAAAGAGATGAAATTTGACATGTCCTATCTTTTGATCAAGCTGGATCTTATGGTACAAGTCGCATATTTAAGGTAGGTCAGGTTGTTGACCTATGTTGTCGCTCGTGAGCCTCTGCACAGTCCAAAAACAACGCAATTTCTGAACACTCAGTGCCAAGAAATCCTTCAGAGAAAGATGACACTTGGCAGAAAGAAGAGTTGTCGGTTTCTTACCGTTCGTATGTGTCGTGTTTTCACAAGAGTTTAGTAAGGTCAGGTCCGTCACGTGACCTCCCCTCATAACTCAATAGGTTTACTATCATAGAAACGTTTATCAATCGCCGGAAATCTTAGCCAATCCCACTGGACACTGGATCCATACCCACATGGGGCCCTCCTGACTGGCCACTCCCTCTGAAATCCACAATAACATTGGGCTGCGGCCACGGTTATGTATTAATGCTTTTCACTAACAGAAATACAACTTCAACCAGCACAGTGCACGCCGCCACAACAGTCCGACCCACGTCCCTGATATCGACTAGCTCCCGGCCGGATGCACATACGCGGAGCCAATCAGTCCGAATGTGACCTGCAGCTTACAATTGCTGTGTCGCATGGCGCATGGCACAGGACGAATCCTTGCAGCTGTCGGCTGGAGTGGAGAAACAGCACGTTGCGACACACCGCGCCGGCGACAGAGCTCAGTAGGGCTGGTTGGAGGCTGGAGCCGGAGGTAAGGGCGGACACAGGCACAGACATTGCAGGACAAATAACAGGATGTCAGCTAGGGATATAATTCAAGACGAATGATTCAAGACGGACTGAAATAATACACATTTTGCTCACTTGGATACCAACTTCAAACTTGACGTTTAGGGGAAAGTGGGGTAAGACGGGCACCTTAACTTTGGAGCCATTTTTCGGCCGGTTAGAAACATCATAGAAACGGGAAACTGGGTGAAAACCTTTTTCAGACATTTTACTTTCATTTGCCAGAAGATGAGACTTAGACCTGATTCAACAAATAAACTGCAGCTATTTTTGCAAAACCTTGCAAAAACCCGTCTTACCCCACCCCATGGGGTAAGACGGTCACATGGGTAGGGCAAGACGGCCAGCTTCTTTCACCGATCAGCGCAGCTCGCAACAAATGCCCGAGATTAGCCGCATTTATACAGTCGCTCGTTGGTCTCAAGTGCTTCGGAAATGGCAGTATACGAGATTCGTGCAGAAGGCGTATGCTCCTATATAGGCCCTAGTTCAGAAGCCATGTAGAACCGTTTTTCACATTCATTATTCGAGAATAAACTGTGCCGAAGGAATATTGCTAACATGTCTGTGAGTATCGGAATCGAACATATTCTTATTAGAAATGCTTCTTTTTTCCTACAGCAACAAAAATATTTTCACCATTACAGACCCATTGGGTTCATAGTTGCCCGTCTTACCCCAAACTCAATGTCAGAAGTTCAGCACGATTTTTCGCTGTGGACAATTTGATGCAGACAAAGCAAATCCGCCGTAAATGAACACTGTTGGCATATGAGTGTACCACAAGTGATTGCGAGTTTTTAACTCTATAGTGCTGTACACAAAAGCTTGCACAATACATTATGGATGTTTTCAATGAAATGAGTGTTTTAAAGAAATCAAAATAAAAGATTATCGACTGAACACAAATTCACCAGACTTGAATGGTGGTGTGTAGTGGGAAAGGCAATTCTGGTCCTAACTTTTCTTGCTCGTAGCGCTATTGGTTTGGTCTGCAGAAGGGGTGCCCGTCTTACCTACCCTGACCGTCTTACCCCACTTTCCCCTATGTATAGCACCATGGAAACAATGGGCACACAGGAAAGAAACAAAAGATGAGGGTTTTTTAACTCAAGGAAGTAAAACAGCCCGAAGTGCAGACAAGCACATACTTTTGGTAATAGCTATCAGCTGTCCTACTCCTCTTCTCTTCTCCCTTCATCAACTACTGGACACATTTAAAGCATCATATATAGCACCAATGTCCATAACCAAAGCTTGCAAGTAGTTTTAACTTCTATGAAGCCAAAGGAAATGTGCCTACATCATGCATGTAAACTCAAAATTACACATGCATGACAAAGGAAGCTTATGTAAAGAGAATAGTTGACAAAAGCATCTCATGGTTAAAATTATTCAAAACTGCACACAGGGCAAACATAAAAAGCAGCAAGTTTACTGTTCTGTTATGCTAAGAAATAATCCAAAACAAAATACAATCTTTTCATGTTTGAACTGGTTGTTCTTCTATGCCCCTTCATCCACATCTTGATTACAGATGGGATGTTACTGTAGGCTGATGAAGTGACACTTGATTGCCTTTGTGCGAGTTTCAGTTGCAGCCTCCTTGGTACTGCACTGGAAAGCAGATTGAATTGAATGCCTCTGAAAGATAGGAATACAGGCAGGGTTAGCTGTAGTAGTGTCAATGATAATAGACATGACATTTTTGTCCTTTGACATACATTTGTTGAAGTACAAAAAGGTACAAAATAAATTGGTTTGTTTCAAGACATGCACACTGCACAAAGCCGCACAGACATTACACAGGCATATGAAATTGGTACACATAAAATTTGATGATTAAAAAGGTCAAAACTTGCAATAATAATTGAAGTAAAAGTTACAATCACAATCATTTGATTTAAAATGACAACATAAGTCACAAGACGCAACGCTCCTATTCTTTTATGCTTTCATTATCCTCCACATATCAACCAGCTTGATACCAGGCTGTGCAATAGTGAGTACATAACCCCATGTTGCCATTTTATTAGAGCAAGTGGGGTTACAACAACAATGCTGATGTCAAACCCACATCTGCAACCCGTACTGCAGTTTCAATCACCTTACAAGCACACCTTCTGGCAGTTTGATAGGCAGAATGGTCATTACTACTTTCCCCTCATATTCAACACATATTCCCTTTATACAGATACAGTTTAGACCTGGTTATGGCAAGCACTTTCGAGAAAAGATATGATTAAAGTCCAAGACAAAGGTCGAGAGAAACAACACCAACATAAAACACCGACTATGTAGCACTAATACTGTCAAATTCATAAAAATATATACATGAGTCGATCAGAAATTCACTGTAGATTTCGAAAATGGTGTCAAATGCCACTCAAATACCCCCATTCGCATGTATGAAACAATAAAACACTGACCTTCAATTCCGCGTGCCATTCTCCATAGGCCACTGTGTATTAAATAACGCGTTCACTGATAGCAAAAAATGAGACCCACATATGACGCGTTTGCTACCAGCCAATCAGCGCTCGAGTTACCGAGCGCTGATTGGTGGAGAGGGCCGTCGTCAGCAGCTAATTACATGTTGTTTTCCTTGAACATGTGCGTGAGCGCTGATGCTGCTCACGGGCTGTTGCCATTTTTCGTAATGCTGAAGGCACGGGAGCGAACCCCCCTGCCCCCGCGTCCTTAGCGCTCGACACCACTGCCACCTAGCGGTGGTCACAAACATCGAGGAGTTGCCGATCCAGGTACTACTTCATCCATGGTTTCACCTAGGCTGAGTCATCTGCATTGTTTTTGTAACATCTTATGGGCGCCTAGATCATGACAAGACCAGAACGGTGCTTAAAAACGTTACGTCTCTTCCTGTGACCAAGACGCAGTCGTGTAAAAATATATCTGATTTCTTGAAAATGTGCGTTTGCGCCCACCCCGCAGGAGAATAGCTTACGATCGCCGCCTATGAACGATATTGGATCAATTTCAGCGAAATAATGTGAGGTTACGGCTCACGTTGTAATTGTGACTGCATTACCGATAGCTACGTTCTGTACGCCTCGATGTCCAATAGCTCATCAACTCTCGACCCCCACGGGTTGATGTGCAATGTGGATGCGGGCATCTCCGATCAGCATTTCCCAAAATTCACTCCATTCACCCAGTGTCGATTCACCCTATTTCAGTGGCGCAGCCAGGGGGGGGGGTCAGAGGGTCAGCTGACCCCCCCGAAATTTCTGTCGGGGGCCCGCTCGAGAAAGAGAGAGAGAAAGAGAGAGAGAGAGAGAGAGAGAGAGAGAGAGAGAGAGAGAGAGAGAGAGAGAGAGAGAGAGAGAGAGAGAGAGAGAGAGAGAGAGAGAGAGAGAGAGAGAGAGAGAGAGAGAGAGAGAGAGAGAGAGAGAGAGAGAGAGAGAGAGAGGAGAGAGGTCGCAATCTAATTGGACGAGCCCGCTTCGAGAAATGCCTACTGGGACACCACGGGTGAGGGGTCGGCCTGGGGCTCCAGGTGGATGGGGCCCGGGCCCCCGGGAGAACGGGCCCGGGCCCCCTGGGTGGATGGGACCCGGGCCCCCGTGGATGGGTCCGGGCCCCCGGGTGGACTGGGCCCGAACCCCCGATGGATGGGGTCCGGGGCCCCCGGCGGATGGGTCCGGGTCCCCGGGAGAACGGGCCCCGAGCCCCGGATGGACGGGACCTGAGCCCCCGGGAGAACGGGCCCGGGCCCCCGGATGGATGGGGCCTGGGGCTCCCGGTGGATGGGCCCGGGCCCCCGGGAGAACGGGCCCGGGCCCCCAGGAGAACGCCCCCTGGCCTCCTGGGTGGATGAGGCCCGGGCCCCGGGTGGATGGGGCCCGGGACCCCGGGAGAACGGGTGCGGGCCCCCTGGTGGATGGGGCCCGGGACCCCCGGTGGATGGGCCCGGGCCCCGGGAGAACGGGCCCGGGCCCCCAGGAGAACGGGCCCGCCGCCCGGGCCCCCTGGGTGGATGGGGCCCGGGCCCCGGGAGAACGGACCCCGAGCCCTGGGTGGACGGGGCCCGGATTCCCGGGTGGATGGGGCCCGGGCCCTTGGGAGAACGGGCCCTGGCCCCCTGGGTGGATGGGGCCCGGGCCCTTGGGAGAACGGGCCCTGGCCCCCTGGGTGGATGGGGTCCGGGCCCCTGGGTGGACGGGGCCCGGACCCCCGGGTGGATGGGGCCCGGGCCCCGGGTGGATGGGGCTCGCCCCCCCCCCCCTGGTGGACGGGCCCCGGAGCCCCGGGTGGATGGGGCCCGGAGCCCAGGTCAGACGTGGCCCGGGCCCCCGTGTGGATAGGGCTCGGGCCCCCGTGTGGATAGGACCCGGGCCCTCGGGTGAATGGGGCCCCCTAGGGTGACCCGCTTGCTCCGCAACGCGAACAAGGGGTATTTTCGATCGGTGGGCGTTTGGTTGGTCTTGTGTCCGTGGGTTATGCATCCATTTCGGTCGATTGCCTTTTGACGGCAAAGTATTTTGGTTTGGGAAAAAAATATCCATCGCATCGAGGTACAGTACAGTACAGTACAGTACCTACAGTACAGTATGTTTTGTTAACCAAGGACAAGAAACATCGGAGACAATGATAGAGGTGCTCGTGTCTAGTGATAACTGATAACCATGCGTTCTACTATAGAACATGCTAAGTATATTTTATAGCATAGGTTGACGTAGGCTACCTATTGAAAAATGGAGGCCATCGATGAATTACTATGTAGAGGTTTGAAATGTTAATATTTTTAAGAATATTGTTGCTCTTCATGCAAAAGCGATGAATGGATCTTGGACAAAATTGCATGCTCTTTTCAACTATGCCATTTTCAATTGTCAAACGTACCAGTTTATGCAGCAAAACCCGTGTAATTAAGTAGGTAAGTCATGAACAAATGTCATTTTCTTCAGCGATTTGTTCCACCTTGTTTTTGATCAATTAGCTTTTCATAATTTTTCCATGAGAGGCGGTACGTTTCTCTTGACCTGACCTTCAGGTGACATTGACATCCACCCTTATGCATGGGAGCAACATCAAATCACATGTTTGAACGCTTGAAACCACGAAAGGACTGCAAACGCGCCGCTAATGCGAGCCGGCATACGCCGAACCGCGATTCTGGCCAAACATGGTCTCGGACAGTCGGCCAGCTTTCGCCTACTTTCCGACCTTTAGATCGGAATTTGACCTTGAATTGACCTTTAGGTCATTTGGGCCAGAGTCATGAAATTTCTAGGGTAGGTGTAAAATTGATAAACGCGAGGGTACTGAAAGTTACGTCGCGATCAGCCGCTTTTTACGCGAGTTATTTGCGAAAAAAAAACTTTAGGGGGGTTGCATCAGGCATCAGACCCTTCCCCTCTGTGCCGCGAGGGTTAAAAATTCTTGTGAGCGAATTCACGTAATGAAGAAGAGTAAAGGCACAATTTACTACAGCAGCCAATAGCTGACATAGAACAGGCACATGGGACTAGTTAAATATTGTCCGACGGAAGCAGGCAACAGTTCCGATTGCATATATGCTATGCATATTGCGGAAGAGGCACATTTCGGCCTCGAAAGATACGAATTTTTACGTCATAGAACATATTTTTGTCGTGGTCAATTTGCGCAAAAATTGAACACCGGGTGATTACCGAGCTATTGTTCTATCCAAATGTTCTGATTCAAACTCGCTCAGGGTTATCGTGCAGGTAAAGGGGGCCCGCTCAGCAGAATGTGTATGAAATATGGAGAGATTCTGAAAAATGGGTGGGGGGCCCGCACACTAGGGGGCCCGCTTTGGAGGCGATGACCCCCCCGAAATGAAATCCTGGCTGCGCCACTGCCCTATTTATAGTTATGTGACTACTGATGAACGGTTAGATAAGATAATTCGTGGCTAGTTCGGAAAGATGTCCGTGATCTCAGACATTCTCATTCCCACCGCGGACTGTGATTTCCGTTTCATGGCATATCGTTCCGCGTGAATTCATTCCCCGGGAGTTATTCGCTTCTCTGTTCCCACAACCGCCTTGCATGATACCCTTTCGCTGGTTCAGTCTGGTCAGGTGGGGTCAACGCTCTCCCTTTCGCCGGCGCGGTTCGGCGCGGCCGACATTCCCGACAGTGGTGGCCGGCGCTCGGGGCGGTGCAGCCTCGGCTGGTCACCTCGCCGCCTCTCTGGAGGGCTCGGCGCCTATCGGGCCGGCCGCGTCCGACACACACCCCCGGTTGCGTCAGCCGGCGGTGCGTGACGTCAGAGCCCGGGCTGTCGGCCGCCGGTAGCTGGCCCTAACCGGATTATTGGCCCCGTAGGCCCAGTGGAGGTGCAAAATAGTGACCCAGACAGAGCTCAGGTGCTGGAATAGTATGGTCCGATGGTATCATACTTCGGTCGGTAGGTAGGCGAGGCCCCGCTCTTGAGAGTAGCGTGTTTTTCGATCCCACGTAACGAACGAACGAAAGTACAGCGGAACATATTCCTAGTCCTACAATTATGCAGGCGAAGGTAAAGTCAAGACACCGTCAGACTTCATTGTCGAGCCGGTATAGACCGACACATGTCGGCCGGGTCTTGCGCGGTGGTGGACCCGCCGGCTGGCTAGCAACAGTTCACGGCTGCTGACAGTCGGCCGACAACACACTGAATCATTGATAGTGATACATTTGACCGCCAAGCTCACCTAGCGTTTGGTGGTTGTATAGGGTCAATATGATCCGGACCGGACCAGACCGGACCAGACCAGAGGCGGAAATATCTGGACTGCCTGCATCGCCAACATTGCATCGATGCATTGTACAAGCGGTGCTTACTGACGATCATGTGCTGGTCATTGGTTAACCCATATACCGTCTAAATTCTAAATGAACCGTCTAAATTATAGGTAATGCAGAAGAGTAGGCCATAAACGGAGACGTGATTTTCACCGGGACGGGGTATGCTTGGTTTAACGTTGACTGTGTTGGGAGCTTGACACTGCTATCGATCGGCAATCGATCCTATCGATTGATGACATCTGTCAACAACTCGGCACTGTTCTGCAGATGGCATAAGATCGATAGCCCACAGCCTCACATTTTGCAATCTGTCCTCGCGTCAGCTAACCACGCTAGGCTCGTCCCGCCCCTTTGTCCACCCTGTCCCTCCTCACCGAACCTCGTACCCCGAGGTGTCGCCGTCCCAGGTACCGCCCCTTTCGTGTGCCCTGTCCCTCCCCCACCGTCCCCTGAGGTGTGGCCCGTGACCTGCCCGCAGGCGGTATGCGCGCTCTGCTCGGTCTGGCTTTGCGCGTGGCGCTGACCGGCCGCTGCTCCTCCGCTGTGCCGCAGACGTATGCGGCGCGCCGACCTCTGACGATGACCGCCCGTCGGCCGAGCACCGTGCGCCACCTGACCCAGCAGGAGGCCACGGCCGTTGACCAGGAGCTCTTCAACGAGTACCAGTTCTCGGTGGACCAGCTGATGGAGCTGGCCGGTCTCAGCTGCGCCACGGCCGTGGCCCGCCACTACCCGCCGGCGCGCGCCGCGCCGGCGCCGCGCGTGCTCGTCGTGTGCGGGCCGGGGAATAACGGCGGCGACGGCCTGGTGTGCGCCCGCCACCTGCGGCTGTTCGGGTTCGCGCCGACCGTGCTGTACCCGGTGCAGAAGGAGGTGCCGCTGTACTCGCGGCTGGCGCACCAGTGCCGGCGGGACGGCGTTCAGGTACTGGACGCCCCGCCGGCGGATGTCGCCGACTTCCAGATCATGGTGGACGCCCTGTTCGGATTCAGCTTCCGGCCGCCGGTGCGCGACACTCTGGCGCCGGCGCTGCGGGTGCTGGCGGAGGCCAAAGTACCCGTCTGTAGCGTGGACGTGCCGTCCGGCTGGCACGTCGAGAACGGCCCGGACGGCCCCGAGGCACTCCGCCCCGCGCTGCTCGTCTCCCTGACGGCGCCCAAAGTGTGCGCCAAACACTTCAGCGGCGCGCACTACCTGGGTGGCCGCTTCGTGCCGACGGCGCTGGCCGAGAAGTACGACATGCGGCTGCCCGAGTACCCCGGCACCGACTGTGTGGTGAGGCTGGACGGCGCCGGCGACCCCGCTGCCTAATCTCCGCAGAGGGCGGCAAAAGGTGGATGCCGATCTCGGTGTCGTCCCTTCTCGGTCAGATCATATGATCACCCCGTTCCCCTTATCCTCTCACCCCAGTGACGATATAAACACTAACAGGAGCATTGAGCAAGGAGCAAGGGCTGTGCAACGTAGCGACGCTACCTAAATAGACACGACGGCCGGCATTGAGACACGTGACACGGTCGCTTGTTACGAAAGCAATCCGATAAACTTTCCGTATCTCGAACCATTTAGAAGACCTCTTGTCTCTGTTTGAGTGAGCTGTTGGCTGTGGACAATTAGCAGTGAAGACAGACGCATGTATCGCAACAGTGCCGAGAAACGTTAGCAGTGCCGTCTGCGCTTTCATGGGACTCCAGTTGTGTCGGAAAATGATTTCCAGTATAAGTAAAGTAATCTTGGTTACAATAGCCGTTCGAAGTAGGGCGGTCTGTGCGGCTGTATGGATTGATACGGCGCCTAGCGAGTGGAAAACTACACCGTGCAACGCACTGTCTGCAGCGATAATAAACCGATCTTGCAGCGTGAACCATACTTTGTTTGCAGAGCCCGGCCGTACAGACGGCTTCTGGCCGCGAGGGACAGGACGGGACGGGAGGGGAGGTTACACACACCGCCGGAGAGGGCTGGAGGGGAAGGGTGGCAAACTACATAATAACAAACAGCTGGCCATACCAGCTGCATATGCAACACCACTCACCAGACGGCAAAAACAAGGTCGATGCTCGACCCTGGCCACCTGCCGGCCATTTACCGTACTAAGAACGCCAGGATGTGGTCCCGTAATCACTAGCTGGCGTGCCGGGTAAGAAGGCTGGGTGTAAATCAGAATAGCGTGCGACGCTGGGAGCGGGTGTCATGGCTCCCGGCCCGTCCTGGCCTACATACAGATACCGACCAGCATCGACCACACGGAAACCATTGAGCAATCGCACAGTATATTTCTCCGTTCCATAACATAAATAAATAAGACTTCAGAACATCTTTCAACACTGGGCTTACGAAAACTTGACGCCTTCGACCCTGAACATTCCAATACTATGAGATCAAACGTTTGAGAGACTAGAATATCGCTATGGTGAGCATGAGCTGCAAAATAAAATACTGACCCACGGAATGCATATGGGAATGGCACGTATCTGCGTTGGAGGCAGTGCTGCAGCGGGCGGTGTTGGTCGCTGCGCCTGTGGGCACGCCTGTGTGCGTTCAGCAGGCGGTAGAGCGGATCACGCCCTCCAGGATACAGCGCGAGCGCAGGTTCACCTCTCTGGCGAGCAGGCTGGCCCGGTCCCACGGGGCGAGAACGTCTCGGTACTGCTGCCGAACACACGGCGCAAGGCGGTCAGCCGGGATTTCGGACGGCTGATAGGGGGAAGGGCCATACATAGAAAGCGACGCAACATTAGGCTTGACATGAAGAACAAATGAAACAGGAAGCTTGACTTAAAATCAAAACAAGCGAAGCAGTGGGCAGACTGTTCCCACGTAGCAGCAATCTCACAAGCGTGGTATTGTAGCATCTGGACAGCCCGGCGTCGCTGAGAGCACTCGATGATAATCTCGTCTGATAGCGAGTCAATAGTTACACAGACAGCTGGCGGAACAGCGTTCCACCGCCTCCCTCACATACTTTATCAGTCAGCCGTACATACGCACCTTAGCGGAGGCCGTGGCCGATGTGAGCTCCCCGTCACTACGGGAGACCGCCGCTGGACTGCGGAAAACAAAGACAGGAGTGTCAGTATCACATGGTCGACTGTGTGACACGGGAGTCGCGACACACTCAGAGGGAATTACACGCGGAAGGAGGGGATAATGATATTACCACAGCGTTGCTAGGTGACAGAATAAACACTCAATTTTACCGTCAGCTCCAACAGCGGTGTTATAATGACTGCTGCTGACGGCATCCTTTGGGGTCAGTGACACCGCTCCGATACTCCATTCTCTCTCCCTTCCTCATCCTTCTCTCCCTCTCGCACCCTCTCTCACCGCGGCTGACACGCCGTCGGCGCCGCCGCCTCCGTCTCCGTCTGCACGGCCCGCTCGCAGCTGGCAGCGCGGCGCGGTGCCGGCCGGCGGATGTCCCAGCGGCGGGCCGGCGGCGGCGCCGAGCACTGCAGGCGAGCCGGCTCGGCGGCCAGCGGCGCCGGCTTGTCGGGCAGCAGCGGCAGCTGGAGGCCGCGCCGCTCGCGCAGGTAGCGGCGCCGCCGGCGCGCGCCGCTCGCCTCCGAGGAGCCGGGAGACCCGGGCGTGACGGGAGTGACGGGCGTCACTGGCGTGCGCAGCTCGTCCACCAGTCGGCAGAAGCCGCTCATCTGACGCTGGAGACCGCGCACGGCTCCGGCCAGCCGCCGCAGCTCGGGACCGGGCCGGCAGGGTGTGGGCTCGCCGGCGGCCGGCCGCCCGTCAGGAGGGGGCTCCGGGGACACCTCTGCCAGCCGCGCCCGCCACTGCTCCACCTGACCGACCACAGACAGAACCGTCACGGAATGGTGCCAAGGTTGTAGGGAAAACACAGGCCATGCCTCGCTGTGCCATAATAAAAGCTCTTCGCCTACGCCTTTCATATTGATGATACGTCCACTAAGCATCATAGCTCACTAATATCCTGACAAGCACAGGCGATATTCAGTTCTCAAAGAGATCAAGTATCTGACGGCAACTATGGGCTAGCAGGATAGATGCAACTATTGTGTCAGATACACTACAGCCCAATCATCCCCGTCCCACCTACCTTCCTGGTCGGGCTGACTGTGCGCGGCGACATCAGGCTGCAGTAAGAGCCGGCTCCGTCTCCGTGCTCCGACTCCAGCTCAGACAGCGGCAGGGGCGGCACGGCTGTCCTCTGAGCGTCCCCCTCGGCAGACGCCGACCCCCGGAAGCCGCCCGGCTGACAGCCAGCAGGGGGCGCCACACACCGCTCGGCAGCGCCGCCCGTGCCGGCAGAGGGCTCTGCGCGCCCGTCCTGTGGCGGCACTCCGCCGTCACTGACGCTGTGAGGGGAGAGTCGGCCCAGGGCGAGGTCCCCCTCCGGTACCGAGCCGACACCGGCAGGGTGGCGTCGTCGTACTGGCAGCTCCTGAGGCGCCGGATCACCGCCGTTCTGACCAGCACACCGACTAGGAGACTGAGATCGCTCTTCACGGCAGGCAGCCGCCTTAGCACAGCTCCGAGCCGGCTCAACGGCGCTCTTGTTACTCCTCCGACCGGTCGGCGTCTCGCCCTCGCCGCGTCCACCTGTCCTATCCACCACCGACTGTCCACCCGTCCAGTCCACCGCAGTACATCCACCTGACCAGTCCACGACTCTTCTGCCGACAGATTCTGACCGCTCACACCCGGCATCCTCTCCTTCATAACGCCCTTTGCTCGTCACCCTCCTCGTCACGGGCACACCCACTACCTCCGCGCGGTCTAACACTCCTCCTGGTGAGACAGACACCCTATTCCGTGAGATCCTGCGCGACAGGCTGCGGCAGCGGCGCGCCGTGCGGCTGGACCGGCCGCGGTGTGCCACCATCGCCTGAATCACCTCCACCTGTGAGGCCAGCACACTCAGCACGCCCTGCAAGCGGTCACGGGACGCCGGAGGGTCTTTGGACGCGGGCTGAACTGCCGCGGCTGTGTCGGTGGAGGTGTGGGACGCGCCGCGGAAGCCAGGCTCGGAGGAGGAGCGGCGGCGCCGACGGCGATAGAGGCGGGACAGAGAGCTCGACATCGGACGGCGCTTGGCGTGTCTGTCACTGTGTCTTGGTGATTCACTGCCGTCAGAGATATGAGATCGAGAAGCCCGGGAAGCGGTGAGCGACACGGACGGATTGTTGTGCTCTGAGATCCGCGACACGGACGGAGCATAGTGCTCTGAGATCAGAGATGAACGGGAGTCTCTTGGAGACGATACGCGGGGTTGGGGACGGGGACTCGGCACAATATCATGTGACAGTGAGCGCGTCTTCCTTTTACGGTCACTCGACGACTGGCGGCTCCCCACAGAGTTTTCCTCGGCCGAGTTGGAAAGACAGTGATGCTTGTGCGATTTTGACCCGTGCATCTTGTTCGGTCTCGGTTCTGGACTGACCATGTCCGAGTCACGTGACGAATGCCGCTGCTCCGGCGAAGGGTCACGTGATGACACGGACGAGGGTGATGGCTCGGAATCCTGTGAACTCAGTTCTTTCTCTATGGAATGGTCACGTGACTCGTTCAGATTCAGAGATGGGGAATCACGTGACCGGTGATGATGTTCCGCCGACAGGTCATGTGACTGCTCAGCATGACCTTCATACTCTCCACGTGACCGATGCAAGTCCTCCGATGAAGAACCACGTGATCGACTTCCTACACGAATACTCACGCCATTCTCAAAGTGCCACTTCTCATCACGGACATCTGCCTTCACAGCCCGATTATGCGCTGAGGACCCTGTGCTTCCTCTTCCTTTCTTTGATCCCGAAGACCTCCGTACCTGCTTCTCTCGTTCCCTCACCTCCTTTTCCTCTCCCTCTCCCTCCTCGCCGCTCTGCACGCGTCCCGTCTCTCCCGTCCCCTCTCCCTCTCGCCGATATCTCCCGGTCCGGTCGTCGTCTCCGGAGTCCAGTGCCTGGGACGGGTGGCGGTGCCGACTGTGGTACTGGGGCAGGACAGGCGGAGCCGAGGTGGGCCCCCAGCCGGCAGGTGCGGCCCGGAGCTCAGCTGACGGAGACCGCTCGCCGCCCAGCACACATCCGGAGACAGACACCGGCGAACAGCGCTGCAACGGACGGCACGCGTCAAAACCGCACGGTGGGTATTCTGTGCTGCGTGAAGCAGGTGGCTGTATAAGTTATATAACCTATCGCTAACATCATCTCTCACTATAACCGTCCACCTTTATATAACCGTCCTTACAAGGCTAGCATTGAGTCCTAAAATAGTTCGCATCAGGCTGTCACAATAATCTTTTTTGAGCCTAAGCCTATTGTAAGTGAGCACGATTCTCAGACATATGGTAAACACGGAAACAGTACATTTTTCCAAGACGATGAACTATGAGTAACTGACGCTATCAAAGGAGTTGATATGGTAAATACCGCGACACAGATCAGGAATCGTGACAACAGCAATCTTTTTAGTCTCACGTCGGTCATTCACGGAAAGCCAGAAAGGGATAACTTACCATGTGATAAAGGTGGCCTTCCTCAACGAGATTCTTCACACTATCGTTTAAATCAACACTACCACGCTCAGAAAAACTAGAGTCCTTTGATCCCACACCCTCTGGGAACAATTCCTTCTTCGACTTGACAAATCTCAGAAAACTAGACTCCTCATCGCTGTGCCGTCTCAAAATTGCACTCTTGACACCGCTGAGCCGGGAGAACCGAGAACTCTGACTAGTGTGCGTTTCATTGGGCGAGATCATAATCATCTTTCCATCATGGACTTCCCAGCCGTCACTGGCGTGAAAGGACGGTCTCGGCGCCTGGCTGCCAGGCCGCCCTGCGCCCATGGGCCGCTGGAACCTCATCCTGTCGATGTACGTCTCGGCCTCGGCGTACTTGGTCACCAGCTGCTCGTACTGACTCTGCAGCTGCTCGAGCTGCCTTTCGCGCTCCTTCCGCTCGGCCCGCTCGGCCGCCAGCCGTTCGGCCAGCGCCCGACAGTCTGCGGCCGGCGTGGCCGTGTCGCCGGCCTCGGCGCCGCCCGCGGATACATCCGGCTCGGCGTCCGCCGCCGGGTCGGGTGAACGGTCCGAGTCGCGGCGGCGGCGCGCCCGCGCGGCCCGGTCCTGCTGTCGGCGCCGCTGGATGTAGGCGGCCACGCGACTGGACACTGCGCTGTAGTCGGGCCGCGCCGCCAGCAGACACGGCTGGCTGCGGTGCCGCTGCGACAGGGTGCCGCGGCCGGCCGCCGGCGCCAGGTGAGTCTCGCTGCGCCACGGTTGTCGCTGCCGCGCCCCGACCGCCTCCGAGTCCGAGTCGCTGTCGGCGGGCGGCTCGGCGCCCTCCGAGGAGCCGGCCAAGTCCGACTCGGAGCGCCAGTGTCGCGGCACTACACGCCCGTCTGCTCGGCGCGCCGCCACGTCTCCAGGTCGCGCGTCCAGTGGCCGTCCTCCTGGCGGCGCCAGCACTGCTGCTTGCGCACCCAGTTGCCGTTCTCGCGTGTCCACAGGCCGTTGCGGCGCGTCCAGCCGTCCCCCTGCGGCACCCAGAGGGCGTCGTGGCGCACCCAGAGCTCGTTCTTGCACTCCCAGACGGTCTTTCGCGGCGACACCAGCGCCCCGACCAGCAGCGTCACCCTGCCCCACGACGTGAGCATCGCGGCGGAGCGTCACACCGGCCGCCGGCGGGCAGACTGGTGTCGGGGACCCCGGCCGCTCCCCATGGATCGCTGAGTACGTCTGCTTCCCACGGACGCCGGGCGGCGCTGGCGGCTCAGCTGGACACACCTCCATTGCTGCCGCTCACTCCCTTACTGTGATAAACAAAGCTTAAGGACTTTTTGGAGCTGAGTGCTGTCATGACTTCAGATTTGCAGTCAACTGAAAAGAAAGTAGGAAATTGTAAATACAAATTAGGCAAAGATATCAACATGCAACTGATTAATAGATAGCATGAACTCTGCAGAGACTGCATTCTACAAACAGAGTATAGTAGTGTGTCTATTACATTCAAACAGCAGTGAATATTTCATAATTGTACCAATTCACTGTTATTGTTCATTGTCATTATCCAGACAGATTCATTGCTACTGAGATAAATCAATACCAAGAAAAGCAAATGCCAATGTCATAACATTTTTGAGAGACATTCATGATACCCAATTCAATTCCTTGTGGAATCAGATACTTAAAAGATACAAACAGAACAAAATCGCAAAAGTAAGATGATAGCCAAAAATGGTTATTAGGATAAAAAGAACAGACATATTGATGCTGCTACTTTTGGTCTCAGGTCATCATGGAACAGCCCATGCCTACTAACATGCCAATATTTACCAATGACAGATCCAGGGGGTCATTTGGTTTAGTTGGGGCATGTGACCCTCACAGGCTCCAACAGAACCAATTAGATTATATGAAAATGCATTATTTTCCTTGTGTTATAAGAAAGATCAACAGCTTTATGAAAAAATGAAAGTTTTTGCACAGTAACACTCCAAAACACTAAATTTAAAATTAAGGATTTAAAAATGTAAAAACCATACAAAACAAAATATTTTCCTCCTATTGATACAAATTGATTCAGATTCAGGAGAAAATCTTTGTATGGCTGTTTTCAAACCAGAATAAAAATTCATAACAACCAGTAAATGTGTAGATGAAGCACGCTGAAGATAAAAGCATAATCTAACCTGACCTAACCTTACCTACTGAGCTACAACCTTAAACCTACCAACCTAAAATGTGCCTAAAACCTACAGGCCACAAGCTTACAACAGCTACCAACCTTAAACCTAAAACCTACAACCTAGACCTACCGATATAGGTACCAACTGTACTTCATCTACACATATACTGTAGGTTGGTAGGTTGCAGGTTGGACGTTGGTAGTTGAACTGGTCACTGGAGGGATGTAGGTTTTAGGTTAGTACCTAGATTGTTTGGTAGGTTAGTAGATGAGGTTAGGTCAGGTTAAATTATGTTTTTTTATTTGGACTTCATCTTAACATTTACCACAATGTAACAGGCATAACCCCAAAGCCATACAAGCAAGTAAAAGTGGTGAAAACAAGGCGACATCATTGGCATATCAACTACAGCATTTCTGCCTGCCGTTATTGTATAAAATGGCTAAATCGTAGATCGATTTGTTTCTGAGATTTAGCCGGAAATGTAAAAGGGCAAAACCTACCGCTAAATCTCGCGAGAGCCGTACACTCATCAAAAAAAGCCAAAATGATCAACTTCCCAAAATTCACCAACTTTCTTTTTCTCATGCATTGCTGTTTAGCATGATTTCAATTTTCATGTTGATGCAAGTTGCAAGAATGGAAAATGTCAATCATCATTGTATCCATTTTTGAAATAAATCAGAATATGCCAGAGAAGGTAACTGCCAAAATAAAAAATAAAAATGAAATGCCTTCCACTGAATTTGGTGACCATTCGGGAACATATCAAAGTCAATAGTCAAATGGAGATGTCACTTACTATACTGCACCTTGAGCTTCAGCAGTAAAAATAAAGGTTCAGTGAAACAAAGTTAAGACAAAATGCGCCAGGTTTAGGCATGGTTTAGGCCTTGGTTTAGGCCAGGGTATATGGTTTAGGCGGCACGTGACCGCCTGAGGCGGAAGGGGGTAAAATATTTTCGTCATTTAATGCTCAATGCAAACGCTGCGACTTTTTACAAGACCTTCTCCTCGTCGTTGTTCCTTGCTTTCAACGACTGGTCCCCGAGTGATGACTATCCTCACGCAAGATAAGATGAATGGAGCTAGCATTTAGGCCCAAAAAATATATCGGAAATGTTACAAAAGCTTCTTTTGAAGGAGATGAATTGAATGGTTTTGGAGCCTCACGAAACATGTTTCAGATATGACGCGTCAAACAAACTGACGCATAAAGACTGTTCAAAAGTGTGAGCGGCAGCTCCGCAAGCACTTGATGACAAATGAAAATCATAGGTTCTGCCCGGTCGCCATAGCAACAAGCGAGCGTCACAAATTTCGAACACTATCTGAGTGCGCCATGTTCGACTACATCGAGGACGATGGGTGATGGTTGCCAGCTGATTAAATTAATGAAACGCGAATAAATTAACTTTTGCTTGAGATGGCAAGTAAAAATGTGTTTATTAATTTCAAATAACATTGAATTAGTTTTTGTATATACAATAACTACAACGCCTCTGTGCAAGGAATAAATCAAGGCTTATGAAAATCGTGGGTAGGGTTGGGAAAAGCAGAAAAAGGATCACGTGACTAGCGTCCCAACCTTATCTGTAAGAATCTGGTAGGGGGTAAACACTATGGGCAGGGTAAACATATTTTCGTCATTTAATGCTCAATGCAATCGCTGCGACTGTGAGAAAATCACGGTCGCGGTGGGCGCGACCGGCGCCGCCACCTTCGGTGACCGTGCCACGATCGCGGTGGATGTGACCTGCGTCCTGCATCACTGCCTCTGGTGGCGCAAGGCTCGCTGCAACACCACGCAGCGGCGGCGTGGACCGCGGCCGGTGCCGTGGTGAGACCGTACCGCCCACACGCACCGGCGAGGCGGCACGGTGTCGCAACCTACGCACTGGCCACTGACCGACCTTCGCCCGACCCCTCGGGACGTGACGGTGAACCCGGGACGGAGCGCGAGGAGATGGCTTTAGCCCGACCCTGGGGCCGGGCGCGCTGGCGAGACCGGGCGGGCGCGCGAGGTCACGACTTTCACGCCGCACAGCCGTGCCACGTGAAGTACGCGTTTCTCCGACGTTTAGAACATGTAGTTTCTATATTTATGTAATTAGCCCTGCGATGGATTGGAACAGGCTTTTTCTCCTGTAGCTCTGTATACCTAACAACGAATAAATAGGAGCAGACCTGGAATACGGATCGATCGCATTATTCCTTGTGTGAAATAGATTACGACGTATTACGGTAAATACGTGCGTAATAACTTATTGCAGGACCGACCCTCACGGACTGCATGATTTATTGTACTTTACAGTGTTCGATATGCCACGTTCTAAGCTGATGTATGTCGCCCAATTTGATACGGGTTGCATAGTCTATTGCACATATAACATAAGATACCTTAGAGACAAAACTGACTGTGTCACGGAATGTTCACTATTTTACGTGGTTTCACGGGTTTTCCATGAAAGCAGAAAACATAATGCTAGTTTCATTGTTTGTCGGTTGCATTAGGTACGTTTAAAAATTGGCAATGTAACATTACGAGAAACAATACGGGCCTTCTGGTACAATAAACAACGATGAGGTACCGGGTCGCATTGTTTATTGTAATGATATTAACTGTTGACAAAAAGTGTGTGACTTTATATCCTATCTGGTATTCAAGTTATATGAAAATCTGACATCTTGTGAGTTTGTGAGTTAGCGCTTGTTTCGCTGGTGGTGTCGTCATTCGCGAATAAGGACGGATTCTCACGGCCATGCCTGTAACGTGCGTGTATGTGTATTATTTCTATATGTTATACTGTGGCCCTCGGATTGCGTGAAAGTACGCGGGTTGTGACGTCACACTGCGTGTGACGGTATAAATACGCGCGCGTGGCGTAGGCTCGGGGCTCGCTCTACTGGCTCGCTTCTGGCTCTCTCTTGTTCGCCCTCGCTGGCACTCGTCCGCCTCGTCACGGACGGAGCGGTGCTCCTCCGCGGCCTCGCCACGCAGTAATGTGAGTACCGGTGGGTCGCCGGTCCAGTCAGGACCTGTTTGTGCCCGAGTGACGCAGTAGTGTTTTCTTCACTGTGCGTGTAGCGGGTAACATTGCGCCTGTCTGCCTATTGCCTGGTAACTGTGCTATTGCTTTACTCGAATCTAATCTCATGTCTTTTATAGCCTGTAATGTAATATACCTGTTCCAAGACAAAGCAAATTCTTTGTAGTTGGTAACGTTTACATCCGAAAGGGACGAATGCTTTAGAAGTTGGGCTAAAAATAAAAAACTTTCATACCCCTAGACAAACGACCTGCTCAGCAGACACTTAACGCGTGAAGCCAAGCTGGCAAAGTAAAACAATAAAATTCACACGACTTTTTACAAGACCTTCTCCTCGTCGCTGTTCGCCTGTTTCTTGCTTTCAACGACTAGTCCCCGAGTAATGACCATACTCATTACTCACGCAAGAAAGGATGAATAGCTAGCAATTAAGCCCAAAAAACATATCGAAAATGTTACAAAACACTTCATTTGAAGGAGATGAATTGAATGGTTTTCGGAACACACAGACGGACGACTTAGAAAACGATTGTACGGACCTGATCTTACAGGCATCTTAGGCACCCTACCTATTTATTTTAGGGTAGGCAAAGGAAAAAAACTTTAATTCAGTTACGTCAATTAAAAGTAGTGAGACAGAAATAGCCACCAGCTTAAACTGTATAGGTGGATGGAAGGGAGCGTAAAGTGTTCCAGAGAAGACGTGCGCTCATAGCTCTTGGTCTCGGACAGGAGACACGCAGTCAGTCAGTGTTCTATTACTGGCGGCGCAATTAACTAGTGCGCCGGCCGACCAATCGACCCGGCTGTCACCGTATAGGCCGCCGCCAGGGCGTCTCCAGATGAGAACGGGCTGCCTAGGGTTTCCCGGGACGAATAGGGCCGTGCGCGCCGCTCCGTGGCGATCGCGAACCCACCGTTCCCATGACGACGCGCAGGTAACGAACTATGTATACGCCGGCCGGCCGGTAATGCATTACGGCACGGGCTGCCGGCGCCGCCCGGGTCAGCGCTAGTGCGACTTATTGCCTCTCGGTGACGGCCGAATGCGATCCGTCATGCCATGAAGGCGTGGGCAGCTATTCCTTGTGCGGAACCGGATGTAGACCTGCCTAAAGAGTAGGCACTATGCCTATATACCTAATCAGTAGGTACTCATATGTATAGCGGGTACGTATGTAGGCACGGGACACTGAATGACGAATATTGTCACGTTCGCATACCTATACAGAAAATTATAAACCTAACTCGCTCCGTCCGTGCGACAGGCAAACATGCGACGCTAAATGCGGAATGTTCTCGGCGCCAAAAAAAGAACACCACACTTCCTTGTCCTGGAGGACGGTCACTCCTACTAGACAACTCGCGATGAGGTCAACTCAATCACGCATGAGCAGAGCACATCTACCTAATCATCCGGGCCACATCCACATCTCTATCCGATTAAACCATCAATTTCCCATTTCTCTTCTTCAAATCAACCTACAAGACAAAAAGAAACCGTGCTGGCCAGACTGAGGCTAGGACACACGTATCCTACACACTCGCATATATACGACCGTGTACCACCTCCAATATGTCACTATTGCCCCACACATCCAAGATACACAATACAACACTTCATACTCCACTGCCCACGCCTACAGCACCACAGAAGACACATTATAAGACACATTACCACACATGGCCTCAGTCTGGATTTGCCAACTATCCTTGGCGACCATCACCCAGAGCTTCATGATTTGCTTTTTATCTTTCTCCAGGAGGCACGTCTTATTAACAGCATATAGAAACCACCTCACTGAGACAAAAGGAACCCCGAGCACGGGCATGAGTGGGCGCCGTGGGGACGATAGTAACGCGGCGCCCAGTTCCTTACTCTTACAACCTAAATCCCGGTCGTTTATTTACATTTTCCTTTTGATTGCATCGTGTGCTCGCGCTCTAGCCATTGATGTTTCTTGCACTGTGTAACTGGCATGTGTAACTGGCGGCCCCCTATTGCGCTCTCCGACCCGCTAAGGCGGAGTCGTTGAGAGCCAACGCCGACTGGCAGCCAAGGTGTTTACGCCTGTGGTCGCCGGGCGCCCCTCCCCAGCACGGGCCGTCATTATCCCTTCCCTTTTACCTCCTACACATTAGATTAAACAACTGTAGGGGTTTTTTCCCCGCGCTCTTTGGCTACAGCGCGGGGTTTTCCCCTTTGCAATAGGCGTCAGGTTTTTTGTTATTTAGGACTTTTTCCCTGACCAATACACCCCACACCAGTACACTGACACCTTACACAAGTGTATGAATATGTGATGTAAATAAATGTTACCGTTTCTTCACTGAAAAAAATCGTGGAACCCCATTTCTTACAATCTGACACCCCATACTCCAAAATACTCCTAAATTAGGCTCCGTTTTCATGATTTTAGGATGTCATGGGTGTTGTGACACCCGACACGGGAGCCCCATTACCTTTTGACGCCCCAAAAATGTACATGACCCCCTTGGGAGAGGTTCGGCTAGCAAACTCCCCAAAAATTGCAGGCCAAAAAATTGGAGTGTCGCTGAGACACCCCCGTTGAAACCCCTCTGGGGTGTCATTATCCTGGAGTGACACCCCGTGTTGCATTCCAAAGTGTCGCTGCGACCCTCAGTCAGGGGCGTACCGCCCATACCGCAAATACCGCAAATGCGGTATGGCTGGCGGCGACGTGCCCAGGGGGCCCCCTTGGGCAAAAATAAAAAAAGTGCCCTCGCGGGCCGAAGGCCCGCTAGGGAATCTTTGCTCGCTATCGCTACGCATGGAAATGATATATATGGTTGGCGAAAAAAATTGAATTCGCGTGGTGTTTTCCCTGAGCCGATT